GGGCTCATCTGCAGACCTCCTTGCACAAGTCGCTGTGGCAGCGCTTCCGCATGGCTCACGCAGGAATGAATGAATGGCTGGGCGCTGCCTCTTGATTTATACTTCAGAAATTCGTTGGTCTGCCCTTTACCATCGGCCCTTGGTGCTCACAGTCGCCCTGTGGTACTTGCTGGACTGGACTGGGACTCTGTAGACCCTTCTGCTGACTGTAGGCAGTCGTACCGTCGACTCAGTGCAGTTGCACTGAGGTCCTACCTGTTGACCTTGCCACTTGTCTTCGTCTGAAAACGTGGGCCTACCTTAGACTCACCACTTGACCACTTGCCGACCTTCTAGAAGGACTAAAGCTAGGCCTCTGGACTCTACTTGGACTCCTACCTTACAGGTCTACAGTTCGAATCTCCCTTCAGCCTACAACCTACGGCGACCTACTTACCACTGGCTATCGTGCAGGTCACGGGTTCAACTCCAGGGAACTGCGCAGATACTGTACACAGGTAAGCTGAGGTCAAGGGATCGACCCCTGGGATCTGCATCGGCTACTGCCAAAGGTGAAAACTGTTTCAGTTTATTGATGTTTGTATTATGAGCCTGCATTGTTTGTTTGTGAAATTTTTGACGACATTGCGCGTGGTGATGTGGCGAAAACCGCCGAACTTTGGGCCTTCCATTAACCATCTCTTGTGATGTGCTGAATGCGGTATGCGGGACTGGCACATAGCACTGTCGAACCACCTCCTTTGATAGGTGCTGTGTGGCGAAAGGGGCTTTTGTGCCAAAAGCACTGACGTTGAAAATGATCTGACGCATATTGAATATTTCACGGTTTCAACGTTTTTGGCGTGGCAAGGCCCTAAATCTGCAAGCTCAGTACGGATGCCTGGCTAAGCATAAATCATGGCGAGCTTGCAGACTGATGCCTTGTTAAGCCCTCCCTGAAAGACTCGGGAATACCGTTGTCGGGCGGCTGCCTACCAGCCGAACACTTGTTTTTTTTTGAAAAAGAAAGACTTTTCGAGGTTGTTTTTTTATCTTGCTGCCTATTTTGGGGATCTGGATGCGTGTGACTGAGGGGTTTTGGTATGATCTCAAATTCCTGACCTCCTCACTAACCTAAGAACAAGCAGGGAAAACAACCCGGCCGTGGTCACAAGCGGGGCCTAACGCGGACGGAAAATCGAAGATTTCACGACAAGTACTCAAAAAAAGAAGGAAAGGTGGTGGAACCCAGACCAAGCCAAGGAATCCCTGAAAGGGTAGGAGGCGAGAGAGGGTGTGTGCTTTGGATACGGGCGGCTGTGAAGTTACTCCAGAATGAACCAGGGAACTGTGGCTGATCCAGGGGGTCGAGGACGGAAGAAGAGGTGTGCGGGCCATCGCAGCTACCAATCTTGCCGCAGTCACTGCAACAGGATATCCAGTCCTGGCGGTCGGTTGACAGTATGGTAAGGGAGCGACTTCGAAGCAAAACTCGGCGGGGTGCTGGCACAGTGCGTCAGTGCAATCGGCCCGGTGCAAGCGGATGACCCTCCCAATATCGTACAACCACTCCAGTGTAAAGAAATCGGTCTTGATATCGTCGCGGTATTCAAATTGGACTAGGTTCATTTTCCGGGCGATGACCGTTCTGTGGAAGGGCGTGATCAGCAATGGTGAGTTCGGTCGGGGCGGGTTCTTGAGTGATCTCCAAGCAACTGATTTTTGTGTGCCTTGAAACCAGGGTGGGCTTCCGTGATACGGTCCCCCTCGATGCGAGGAGCGGGGTAGTGGAGTGTCAACGAGTGCGAGGTTGGCACAGATGGACTGGTGAGATGGCACGAGGCTCGTCACCAACGGTGAGATCAGTGATTGGAAACCTCCCTGTTGGAACGCTCCTGGGAGCTGTGAATGGGGAGGATCCTTTGGAGTCGAGGGGTGCGCACCTCTACCTTCTTGATAACCGTTTTTTTTCTTTGCCACGGGTGAAGACAGTTAGGAGGCGGATTTTTGCGGGCGAAATTGGGGGGAATGGCCGAAGGAAACGTGTGCATCCAAGGGGGGAGCAAAGCTGTGCGCGCCCTGCCTTCTTGATAACCGTTTTTTTTCTTTTTGCCACGGGCGAAGATAGTCAGGAGGCGGATTCTTGCGGGCAAAATTGGGGGGAATTGACTGAAGGAAACGTCTGGATCCAGAGAGGAGCAAAGCTGTGCAGAGATTGGTGGAAAGATGGAGGAGGGAGGATCTGAGTCTCGGATCGGAAGGCTTGGGAGTCCACCGATCGGGAGTAAAGTTCGAAATATTGAGTAGGTGTGCGCGGCAACAGGGCGGGATGTGAGAATGAAAGAAGAAGGCGAGAAAAAAACGACAATTTTGGAAAATTTTGAACTTGAAAGATGAATGATTGGTGGATCAAGACGGGAGGAACACCCAGCGGAGAATTGGAAGGGGAAGGGCGATCCAGCAGGAGTGTAGAGGGCTCGAGGGCGTTCAGCATAAAAGGAAGAGGGGGCGAGCCGATCGGGGTGCGCACGGAATTTTTCGGGATTTGCACGTCAAACGCTAGTTCGCGATCGCGCTCGGAGTCCGGCGGGCGTGTACTGGTGAGCGAGAGAGAAACGGGGAAGGGAGCTTCCGCGCACGACGGGAGGTGTCGGGGAAGATCAGGCGCTCGGAGTCCGGCGTCTCAAACTGGTGAACGAGAGAGAGACGGGAAAGGGAGCTTCCGCGCACGACAGGAGGTGTCAGGGAAGATGAGGCGCTCGGAGTCCGGCGGCTCGCACTGACGGACGAGAGAGAAAGAGGGAGGGAGCTTCTGCGCACGGAGGAGAAGCTCCGAGGATGGTCACGGCTTCAGGACTCGGCGGCTTGCACAGACGCTCGATCGAGGGAGTAGGGGGCTAGCACAGCAGGCGCACGCACGGAGGCCCGAGTTCTGTGAAAACACGTACAGAGCGCTCAGATAAAGAAGTCACGGGCGTGAACGGTCGAGGAAGGGGGTCGCACGCACGGACGAGCTCAGTGGATGCACGTGCAAGGACGAGGGTACAAAGAACTCGCACACGAGCCCACTGATCTGTCGATGACTTCTGCCACGAGGAAAGAGGTAGTTGTTGAACTGTCATGCTAGCGTATCACGCAGACCTGGAGAGGAGGAGCGGGAGAAGCGAGAAAGAGAGAGAAAGAAAGAGAGCTAGCACAGGGAGAGGAAGAGGGAGAGCGAGCACAGAGAGAGAAAAAGCAAGGCTTAGAGCGAGTGAGGAAGAGAGAGAGAGGGAGATAGAGAGAGAGCAAAGGAAAAAGGGAGAGAAGGGAAAAGAAGGGAAGGCACGACGGAGCGCTGGGAAGCCGCACCAGCTGAGGGGAGGTAAGCGGCAGTCGGCGAAGGCGGGCAGTGGCTCGAGGCGCAGTAGGTAGGCGGTATCACACTCGGTGACGGCCATTCGCCTCGGAGAGGTCTCAACGGGCGCTGTCGCGTTCCAGTAAAAGCTCGCTGGTCGTGTCTACTCGGCGAGCGCAGTAGCCTGGGTGCCTAGTGCCAACGGGAGAACGGCCTTGGTCGGATCGTCGGTGGAGCAGTGCTCAAGCTGCCTGGGCTGGTTTGCCGGGGCGGCACCGTACGGACACATTCCCGGTCTTATTGGGACTTCGAGACAGGGGAAGGCGGGTCGCCGACGACGCCGGGTGTGGGTTCTTGCAAGCTCGGTTTCTCGTATTTTGGATTCGCGTCGGAGGCACTCGGATCAGCCTTCTGGCCTCCCACAACGGCTCCGTTGCGTGCAGGGAGAGAAAGGAAAAAGTGGGTGGGCAGAAAGGAGCGCTCAAGAGCGCCTTCTTGTCAAAATTCTGAGAAGAA